GAAGAGGGCCAACGTAAGGTGAAAGGCTCTGACTGTCTTCAAGTGCTAGCAGCCGCTGTTTATTCAGGGCTCACTATGAACCAGGCACACTGCCTGCATCCCTGTCCTTCACATTGATATTATCTCCATTTTACACATAAGCAACCCAAAGCTCAGAGATGCAATTCACTAGTCCAAGGTCATGCAGCTAGAACACATTGCTGCTATTCAAGCCTGGAGAAGAGCAGATGCGGACTGACTTTGAAAACCAGGCATGTAGGGGAGGGGTCAGGCTTGTTCTGAGAAGCCTTTGGTTCTGGGCTTTGCCTCCACGGCATTTACACAGCCTATGGGGTCTCAACAGATCAAAATGGGAGACTTGAGGCAAAAGATGAGATAGAAGGGCCTGCAAGGATGAGGAACATGGATTCACATCCTGACACTGCTGGTCATGTCAGCACTCTGTGCCTCACTCTTCTCATCTATAAAGTGGGATATAATGGGTCAGACCAGGTCACTCTGCCTCACTCTGCCTTTCAGCAGCTCCCTATAGCTCTTAGGATCAAGTCCAATCTCCTTAGCATGGCTCAGAGGCACATTCAGGCCCTAACTTTCCTCTCCAGCCTCCTGTCTCATCACCACCTCAGCCAGAGCAAACTGTTTCTCCGTCTCCAAACTCTCCAAGTCCTTTTCATCCTCTGGGCCATTGCACACACTGTCTCCTGGGTCATTCTGTTGAACTCTCCTGGGTGGGAGAGAATGGGGTACATTTGAACTCACGCACAGGGGATTGCCACACCGATCACCACAAGAGCATGCCCCAGGGCCCTGTGGTGCCCCAGAGCTAAAGGGAGCTGAGAACTCCTCAGGGAGGGCAGCTCTGGTGTGGACTGGACGCAGGCTGGCCCTGTCCTCTCTCCAGGTGGGCGATGCCACCTGCCCTCCTCCTCATTGCTTATGCTGGCCACCTGCCCAGAAGGGCAGCAGCCACTTTGGGGTGGGAGGGGAGGAGAGAGAGGGCGAGGGGGTGGTAGAGTTCCTCGGTGGTCTGCCCAGGCCAACCTCGCGTTCCAGACCAACCACCTTATTCCCCAGGCTCTCAGTGTTAAGGAGCCAGGGATGTGCGTTGTCGGGAAGCCAGACCAGACCCCAGCGTGCCACCAGGGCTTTAAGCTGGGGGTTGACAGCTCAAACGCCTACAGGGCCCGGGACACTACTGTAGTGAAGGGAGTGGCAGCCTCGGCCCTCTTGGCCTGTTGCTTTCTCACTTTGGACATACGAGAGTTCATAAAGAAGATGTCTCTGTTGGAGGTAAAACGTCAGTGCAAGTGCTGTGATCAACGCTGCCTTGCTGTTGGAGAGACCACAGAGAGCACAAGGCCACCCTTCTCTGCTTCAAGGGGCTGCTGCCTCTCCCCAGCTGCAGCCACGGTTCCTGTGGGAATGAGAGCCCACGGGGCCTATCACCCCAGGGAGCAGGTACTGTCAGACCCCTCTCCCGCCCTCACGCCTCACTCTGGAAACGTCCAGCTGCCTGAATCTTCGTCTCTGGGCCTAATGGCTTTTTCCATAACTCTGGAATGCTGTCCTGCCAGTGGGACAGAGAAGGGGAATTAAGACTCCCCAGGAGCAGCCTTTAGCCAAAGGCCAGCGAGGGTTGGTGTAGAAACGCTCCAGGCCCCCTCATCTCTCCCTCGGTGCATCCAAAGCAGGAACTTCACATCTTTATCCAGGGGAATCTGCCCCAGGTGCCCAAGATGGCGGCCGGCTAACAGGCTTGGCCCCTCCCCTCCTCCCCTGCCAGGCTGTCTGCCACTCCCAAATAAGCCATTTGCTGTCAAACCCTTGTCTCAGCATCAGCTTCTGGTGCAACTCAAGCCAAGACACTCAATTTTCAAGAGGAAGCAGAAATCTGGTTTTTATATAAAAAGTCTTAATTTTTAAGTGTTGGCCTCTAATGCCAATTGTTAAAAACAAAACCAGACACTGCATGGGCCCCACACCCACAGGGTGGATGTGGTCCATGGCTAGTGCTGTACAGGGCTATATGTGTGCCTGGCTCTGGCCTAACCCTGCCCATCCCCAAAATTCTTGGCCATTATGGCTGTGGCTATTCTCATTGGTGTTCTTTTCAGCAACTTGGCTGTCTTCCTCCCCTGCATCCCATGAGAATGTCCCCTCCTTGTTGTCACTTTCCCTCCCTCCCTCCTTTCCTTCCTTCTTCCTCTTCTTCTGATTTTCTTGGGCAAGCCTCTCCAGCTGAGGCTTGTTTTCCAATAAACTGTACTACTTGCTTGTCCTTCCAATAAACTGCACAGCAGCATTTAGCAAGGGGTTTACTAGCCCCCAGAGGATTACATCTCTGGGGAACCTGTATTGCTGCTAACCTTGGCCCAGCTGGTTCAGAAATGGCTCCTTTAAGAATTACCCGAGGGCCAGCCCGGTGGCCCAGCGGTTGAGTTCACACGTTCCGCTTCTCGGCGGCCTGGGGTTCGCTGGTTCGGATCCCAGGTGCGGACATGGCACCACATGGAAAGCGATGCTATGGTAGGCGTCCCACATATAAAGTAGAGGAAGATGGGCATGGATGTTAGCTCAGGGCTAGGCTTCCTCAGCAAAAAGAGGAGGATCGGCAGTAGTTAGCTCAGGGCTAATCTTCCTCCAAAAAAAAAAAAGAATTACTCCAAGTTTCAGTTTCCCAGAGGCACAGTGTCCCCTGTAGTGTTTATGCCTGGCCTGGTTCCCCAGGGTCCCCACTCCCTGTGGCCGTCATCGCATCTTTTGAGTAATGCCCCAGGGTGTGGATTGAGTTGAGGAAGCCAAGGATCAAGGGTTTCTGACGACCAGATTTTATGATGGCAGCATGGATGCCTTGGGTCCATGAACTCTGACCCACAGCGACCTTTTTGCAGCGTCTGCAAAAATCTGCACGGGCCAACTCTTGCTCCTGGCCTGCAAGTGAGAAGCCTCAGTGAGAATGGGGTGAAGATGGGATGGGGCCCTGAAACCTGACCCCGGGCTTTTCTCGCCAGCCTCCTCACCCACCACCTTCTTGTATGTTTAGCGTGGCTTTCAGTCCTAGACACATACTTGCAGGTTTCTGGCAGCTACAAACTGTTCTGCAGAATGCCAAAATCTTGAAAATGTTGTTTGGCAAAAAAAAGTTTGCATGATAAAAGAATTCCACCCATAAAAATGGTTCTGAGTGGGGGCCGGCCCGGTGGCGCAGCGGTTAAGTTCGCACGTTCCGCTTCTCGGCGGCCCGGGGTTCGCTGGTTCGGATCCCGGGTGCGGACATGGCACTGCTTGGCAGCCATGCTGTGGTAGGCGTCCCACGTATAAACTAGAGGAAGATGGGCACGGATGTTAGCTCAGAGCCAGGCTTCCTCAGCAAAAAGAGGAGGACTGGCAGTAGTTAGCTGAGGGCTAATCTTCCTCCAAAAAAAAAAAAAAAAAAATGGTTCTGAGTGAATCCTGGTAAGCTGGGTCAAAAGGAAGCAGGCCTTCTCAGAGCCTTTGATACGTTCATGTGTCCTGTAACTTCCTAAGAGCCTTCGGTGACCACAGTTCCTCCAAACATACTTGGGGACCAGCTGCTGCAGACTCCAGTGCTGGGCCTGCCTGGCAGGGCTCCATGAGCAAATGGCAGAGGTCTGAGGCCCCCGCTGGTGATCAAACTGCTTCCCAGTGTGGGTCGCCTTATTGTTGCTCCCTCAAAAGACCCTGTGGGGTGTTCGCCTCCTTCCTGGGGGCGGGTAGCTTGTGGGGTAGCGGAGGAAAATCCAGGAGCCCAGAGGTCTGGGAGTGGGGAGGAGGGATGGTTTCTGCCCAGGTTGGTGGCTGAAGGGGGGAGTGGGCAGGGAGACGAGCAGGCTTCTCTGCTCTATGATTAGGGCAATTTGTTCTCCAGGAGGTCATTTGTGGTAGGAAACAGCCTAGAAATTAAACTAAATATATCCCACCCCCAGAGGAGCAGAGACAGCCATGGCACCTGGCTGGGTGGGGTGGTGAAGAGTCCACTTAGGTTGGGATGTCACTGAACTGACTCCCATATTTTAAGAGTTGGGAGGAAAATGGTTTGAGTTTCCCAGGCCTGGCCTGGGTGAAATGGCAGATACAGGTCTGGGTTTTGGGGAAGGGGTTCCATTCCCCCATCTCATGCCTCACCCTATTGTCACCCCCTCACCCCAGGTCCCACTGTCCCCAGAGCTCAGTTCGTCTCTGCCTCTTCATGGTCACTGCTGTTCCCACTTGCCCTGCGCCCCCAAACCCACACAGCTCCACCAGCTCTGTCTTCCTGTGCTCCAGATGGTCCTTCTCTCTTCTCCCTGAGGAAACGCCGTTCCCTCCAGGAGGCTGTTAGGAGACAAAAAGAGCTGAAATCTAATTCACACTACAGTTGTTAAGACTGACAGAGCAATTTGAAATGATTCCATTAAATTTCTTAGCTGAAAGGGTCCTTAGCAACCTCCTCGTGTGGTTTTCAGACTTTGTTGACGGCTAAATTAAATCTTAGGTGCTACTTCAACACGCGAAGCAGATCAATGCACAGTTGCTCTGGGTGAGCGCGTCCCTTGCCCTTTCCGCTGTCTTTTTAATTCCTAAAGGGGCTTTTTAGAACAATGGTTGTAAACCACTGATTATATTTCTCATTCTAAAGGAAACTGGGGCCCAGAAAAGGGAAGTAACTTGTTCAAGGTCACAGGCCCAGACAGTGGCAAAGCTGGGACTTGTCTCCAGGTCCCCTGACCTCTAGCCAATGCCCCTGTCCCTGCCCCACGATGCCTGAGTATTCATCTCTCAGGCCCACCAGCTCTGCCATCCTGGTAACACAGAGAACATTTGTCACGCCCTGTCCAGTGACCCACACTTCTCTGTGCCTTCCATGCCTCGGGAGTGGGCAGGGACTTCCTCGGCCCCGCTTCATGCAGCCACCCCTTTTCCTACCACTGCTAACCTTTTTCTTGTTAATTTTTATGATCGCTGCTGAGAACAAATACAAAAGAAAGGTAGAGACAGGCTTCAGATTTTTCTCATTGCATGTGTTCATTTTTAATTAAATAAGTCAAGTAAGCCATCAAGTGATGGGTTCACATTCTGTTCTGCAAAGCAGACCCTGATTGGCAGTGGCCGCCAGCTCTCTGAAGGGTAGCCCCTGCGTTTCCAGGAGACGGCAGATTGTTGCCACACCAAGGACATCTGGGACACTGATGGCAAGGGGGCTGGGAGCTACGTGGCTGAACAGAAGGTGCTGCATGCTACACATACACACGTGCGGACACTTATGTCCACACATGGCCATGCAGGGGGTGTCCTGTATCACGTGGCCATGAAATATGACACAGGGCTGAGGTCTTGGCAAATGACAGAGTTTGCAGGAGAGCCAGGCAAACTTGGCCTAGAACACACAACACAGATGAGAGGGTGACTTCAGGGGTGCCCAGCTCAAGCCCAGAGTCTGAGGAAGCAGGTTACTTGGGTCGTTTTTTACTTCCCAAACAAAATACCTGGTCTATAATACGAGCTGGGCCCGTGAGGATGGTGCTGTTCTTGAAAACATCTAACTAATTTGTCCCCCACGCACGGTTGTAGAATGACAAAGGACAGGAGAACAAAGGATCTTGAAGCTCTTAAGATATCTGAAGTTGCCCATTCTGCTTGTCCTTTTGAGGTAAAGAGCAACTTGCTTTATTCCTAAAACCGCCAGCAGTGGGAGGCCATGTGGCTGCAATCAGGAAACCCTGGGCCTTCTCCATCCCGTCTGGTTGGACCATGTCCCAGGAATTTTCATGAGCAAACCCATCAACTCGGATTTCAGAGGATGCGCCTTCTTTCAGTTTGTACAGATTGACGAGACCCACTTGGCTTCACAGGCTTCTGCTCACCCCCTCATCCCTGCCCTCTCCTGAGCACTCCCGGCCTCAGGATCTGTCCCTCTGAGACCTGCCTTTGCTTTCAGCCTTTGGGGATGGGAGTGAGGGGACCGCCTTGGGGACAGAGCCATCCATTCTTCTGCTCCTGTCCTTTATAATCCAGGGCTACCAAGGGACAGGCCCTGTGGTCAATTAAAACAGGCCCTAGTGCCAGAGAGGGCACCCAGGACTGAAAGAGACCTTCAGGGTCAGGACCAGACCGACTAATGCTTACAGCCCCTGTCTGCTGTCCAGGCCAAGTGGCCACCTTCCGGGACAGGGATCCCCTGACTTCCTGCCAGAACCCGTTCCATCATCGGACAGACGGCAGAGGTGGCAGGAAAGACGCATTGTGATGGGTTGGGTGGGGGCGCTCTGCTCTTGGGGGTTCGCTTAGCAAGCCGCCCCACGACACCAGCCTCGGGCAGTAGCTCCCAGGCTGAGGGTGCTGGCAGACAGGGAGTAAACTCTTCATCAAACATTTCTTTTTATGTTCGTTTAGTTAGCTATTTTCAAGTGTGTGTATCATATAAAGAGACACAAGGGTAGAATCTGTGTCTCTCTCAGCCTTAGAACCACGTGGTGAGGACCTGCAGAGGCAGCCACAGGGCTCACACCTGCTGCTGCTTTGCTCTTTGTGGGGACTCAGGAATCCTGCCCCCCCACCCCCACTACTCCTGAAGATCCCCCGTGGCCTCATCTGCTCCAAGGTTTACAAAGAAGGCCCAGAGGAGAAGCCAGGAACGGGCAGCGGTGGCGACAGCCTGTGGGTGTTGGACACTCCCTGTCTCACAGAGGTCTGGACTGTTCTGAACTATTTATATAAGCCAGACTAAAGAGGTCTTCATGAAGAAAGAGAAAATGAGTAAACGCTCATTGCTGAACGGGCCTCTTATTCCAGGAAGCTGGCGGCCCGTGGAGGTGAGGCCGCAGCTGCTCCCTCTGTCTCCAGGCAGGTGGGTGCTGTGCAGGGGACGGCTCCTGGTGGAACCAGAAAGAGCAGAGAAACAGGGCTGGCCTCGCTGGAAACGGAGGCACTAGTCCCCAGCTGGACCACCTTCCTAGGCCCAGCTCCATGCTGAAAACCCCACATGCATGTCTCCAACTAGGTCCCGCGGAGCGAGAAGTCGGTAGTCACCCCGCCCCGCTGCCCCGTCCTTCCCCAAACCCCGAGGGTTCTCAGGGCATTGCTGAGCCCCAAGGAGACACTTGCTTGAGTTGTGTCCTGTTTCAGACCCCTGGGCAAAGGTAATACAGCAGAAAGGGACTTCCTGGTGCATCTTCAAATCAAAAGGAGGAAACCAAGGAATCTCCTTAAACAACAGCCTGGGCCATCGCGACTCCTGCACCTTGGTCCTGTCTTCTTGTATTCTGAATCGTCTTCGAGTGTCCTTGTGTGTATGGAATGAGTGAATGGTCTCTATTATTGCTGTTTCGTTTTTCTTGATTTGGGTACAGCTTTGAGTCCCTGCAAATAATAAGGTATTTCTGTCTCTTCTTTTTCACAAAATAAATAAATAAAGTCAACTTGTAGTGTACAAATTGTCAGTGTCCTGAGAAGTCCCAAAGGTCCATTCTCGGTACTGTCCTCTGAGCTCAGGGCTGGAGGCCTTGGCCCTGGAAGCATAGGAAGGAAGAAGTCCGCTGTCCACACTCAGAGGCCCCAGGAAGAGCCCTGGACGGAAGCGCTTGCCCACCCACCCACCCAGGTGGGGAAGAGTGCAGGGAGGAGCTAGGGAAGAGCAGCCAGCACTTCTGGGCCTGCCAGAAACACCCGAGTCCCACTCAGCCCCAGGGGCAAGGTTTCAGAGTTGGAGTCCCTTTGGACCCCAAATTAGAGGCAGCTCCCTGTACAACTTACTTTTGGACTGGAAAACCTAGAGTGAAGACTTGAATGGCTGAAGCCCACGGTGATGTAGACCCAGCAGCTCAGATATGCTGATTATAGCAGATCCCACAAGATGGCCACGGTCTTCAAATTTTCAAACTGCAGCTTCCAGCCAGGACACGTCTCCCCTCTCCAGGGCAACACCAGGACTTGGATCCTGTATTTCCCTGGCATCCATAATACTCAAACCAAAACTCAGCCCCCTGGGTTGGACAATAGGACAGATATGACATAGAGGTTGTCCAGGAAATCAGAAACAGCCCTTAATAAGCTGTTGCAGCTCCCTGCAAGTTCTGAGGTGGTACTGAGTTCTGCTCCCCAGTTTTGGGTGGCAATAGGGAAAGACTTCTACTTTGGGGACACCTGCTGCTTGGTCATAGGCCCCCGACCCCCCAGGAAACATGTTAGGGCCTGAGAGAGATTTTCAAATCTGGCCTCTTCTCAGGGAGGGGCTGAGGGCTGCTAATTTCTGCTGCTTCTGGACATTCAGTGAAGAACGCCGGTGGCTTCTGAGATTCGTTCCACACGCAGTTCAAACAGAAAAGCCCGTGGAACACTGGGGGCTGCCATGGCCACCTAGGCTCTGATCCTTCTGGGGGAGGCTCCTCCCCATCCTCCTCCAGCAGAAGCCAGAATGCTCCCCGCTGGTCCTCCCAGACCCCCGGCACCTCAAGCACAGACTGCTTCCAAGTGGCACTTCTGCAGAAACAAAACCAAAAACACAGCCACAAAACGAGACACCAACCATAAATAACTTAAAAAAAACCCCAAATAAAACATCCAGCCTGAGTTGAGCAATGCTTTTCCCAGAGCCCTAAAAGAGCAGTTTCAGACACTAACCACGTAACCAGGGCAACCAACCACGTGGCTGACCTCTGTCCCCTGTCTTCTCAGGGGAGAGGTTATCCTGATGTGACTTCTCCCCCAAGAGTACTCTGTATGTTCTTCTGGGCCCTGTCCCACAGAGGCCTGGCTGGAAATGGCAGGACCCACGAGCTGCCTTTTGCCTCTGGGGACCACAGCTGCTTCTGCCAGTCAGGCCTGAGACAGCCTTCAAACATGGACATGCTCTTGGGGAGCCAGCCAAGCAGGGGTGGGCCTTTGGGCTGCAGTCACGTGAGGTGAGGGTCAGCAGCACCATCTCCACACATGCCGCCTGCCAGCAGTGAGGACGGGAGGGGGCCAGAGGAGGGAGCCGTGAAAATCCAAGGCAGTTCTGTATCCACCGCTCAGTCCCAAACCCGGCCAGGGAACGGGGTCATGGCCGGTGACCACGTTTTCTTCTCCTGCCCCCAAGCAATTCCAAAATGCAATTAAAGGCTCCTCTTTAGGTATGTGATACAAATAAACCCTGTAGGCATAAAGCAAAGGGGAAGCCTGTCTGTGTATCAATAGGTGTGTGGATTTGTGTCTTTATGATGTTTTTCTGTCCGTGTACGTGGTGTGTGTGTAGGGCATTGGTCTTTATATATGTGTGAGTGTTTTGTAGCTCTATACATGACTGATTTCATTAGGAAACAGCACAGCTATCCCATTTATGAAAATACTGACTCGTTCTTGGTTGGTAAGACCCCAATGCCATCCTCTGGCACCCTGGGCTATCCCGGTCCCTCCTCAGAGACCAAGCTAGATTCCACACTGGATTGAGTAGAAATCCAGACACTGAAAGGCTAACACTCAGGGCAGCAGGAGATCCGACTGTGACTGGTCAGTGCCCACTGCCCCTTCTGGTTGTTAAATATTTGGACTCTGGGCCACAGGCTCCCAGTACTTATGTGTGTTTCATGTATGTTTCTGGATGAGTGTGAACGAGGAAGGCTTATCAACAGGCCCGGGCCTGCCTGGACCTGCTCAGGAGACCGCAGCCCCTTAAGTCTGAGCTTGCTGGCCCTCAAGGGGCCCAGGCACTGTCCTGTTCTCAGCGAGAAGCCCCAGGCCCATGGCCGCGGTGGGGAAGCTAGCGGGCTAGGGGCCTACTTCTACAGCAGAGGGGCTACATGGTCACGCACGGCTCCCGCCCACCCTCTGCGAGGGCCGCCGTCTCACTGCTGGCCTGGGGTGAGCAAGGCAGGGCAGGACTTTCACAAGGAGGGCTGCTCGCAGCCCCAGGCCCCCTACGTGACCCAGAAGGTGCCACGCTCCTCCAGCAGGCTGACAGAGCGGTTGGTGAGGGAGGCGGCATCCTGCACCAACTTGTAGCCAAAGAGGCGCATGGCAGGAGCACAGGCGGCCTGCACCACCTGCGCCAGCTTGAAGGGCATGCTGAAGCGCCACTTCTCAAACTGCTCCGAGGAGTTCTTCTGTGTGGAGTAGATGCCGCTGCTGTCCCGGGCCGCCTGGGTGTTCTTCTGGATCCAGTCTTCCACCTGCGGGGTCAGGGGGATGCCTGCAAAGTGGTACATCTCCCGGGCCTTCTGCAGGGGCCTGCGGGCCACGTCCTCGTAGCGCACCAGCATGTAGCGGCCCCGCAGCCAGGCCGGCTGCCTCAGGCCCAGCTCCGCCGATAGGCGGATGCTCTCACAGTTCCCCCTCAGCCGCTGCACCTCCTCCTCTCTCAGGCGGTCCTGTCCCTCGGCCAGCCACTTCTTCCAGGTCTCATACTTGCCGGCAAAGGCCACCATGCGGGAGGCCAGCACGGCCCGGGGGTCGCGCACCAGCTGGATGACGCGCAGGTCCAGCCGGGGGTCCTCGGCCAGCGGCTGCAGGAACTCCAGCTGTCGGATGCGCACGGCCTTGAGGGCCATGTGCTCCTTGCGGCGGCAGGCCTCGGCGGCCAGCGTCACGTTGAGGGGGCCACAGCGGCGGTTCTTGCAGTGGTACTTCTCAAAGACCTTCTTGACAAAGGGAGTACAGACAGGGTCCTCACAGAGGGAGCGGCTGGAGCCCCGGCGGAACATGTACTGAGTCAGGTGGTCCTCGGGCAGGGGGCTGATGAAATGCTCCAGGACGTACAGGTCGCACAGGAAGAGCTGCTTGAGCACGTCACGGTAGACCAGGGCCGAGCCTGCGGCATTGGCGCCTCCCGGCTCGAAGGACACCGTGCGCTCGATGTGCCACAGCGGCTCGAAGAGGTAGAATATGTTGCCCTGCTGGTTGAAGAACTCGCCCACGAACGAGGAGCCGGTGCGCGTGGTGGCCATGAGGAGCACATGGCGCCGGGGCTGGGCCAGGGCGGGCCTGGGCGGCTGCCCCTCCTCCTCCCCCTCGGCCTCCTCTGCTGGCTCCACACCCAGCTGCAGACTGAGGTTTCGCAGGCGGCTCTGCAGCTGCGTGAAGGCTGAATCAAGCTCACTCAGGGACAAGAGGGACGCGTTCTCAGCCAAGGCCAGGGCTGGGTCGGTGCTATTGGCATCTACCAGGGATTGGGGGATCTGCTTCAGCTTGTCCGAGACCCTGTGAGGACGGAGGGAGAGTGGGGTCAGTGGCTGATTGGGGACTCCATCCCCTGTGCATCCCTGTGCGACCTGAAGCAGCCTCCTGGGCTGACCACCCCCAGCCTGCCTTAGTTGGGTTTCCCCAGAAGCAGACTTTGAGGCAAGGGTCTCAGTGTAGGGAATTCACCTGGGACATAGTCACGGGAAGAGCTGGTAGAGGGGAAGGAAGCGAGGAGGAGAAGAATGGAGGTCCACAAAGGGTGAGCAGGCTACCCTGTGGGCAAGTTGATCCAATGGGGGCACCCTGGAGACAGTGTGGAAGGCGCCCCAGTATTCTCTCACCCAAGGGGTGTGAAGGTCCCAGCAGCCGTGGCTGAGGGCTGCTCCCAGAGGCATTTAGTTACTCCTGGCTAGCCAGCGTGCACGTGAAGAGAACCTTCTCAGGTGGAGAGTGGCAGGGGCCTGCAGTGGGACTGGAACAGTCCATGTTGACAAACCCAGGCAGGGCCCCGAAACAGTGCTTGCTACACAGCCCAACTCCTAACCTACTCATGGCGGTTGATGCTTTCTTGCAGGGGTTGTGCCTGGGAGTGCAGGTCTAAGAAATCTTTCTACGTCTAGCAGGCCCACTAGCAGGGCCACTGCACACAGCAGTACACTGCCAACTCTAGGGGGCAGCATTCCCAGTGTAGCTTATGTGAGTGCACACCCCTGGAGTTGAGCAAGACACAACCTGGGCAGCTGCACGTGGGTATCTGTACCAGGACCCTGACTTTCCATGGGCTCACTCTCATTCATGACTTCAGATTGGTATAAAGGATGTGCTGTTAATGCAAGGCATCATCCTAGGTCAGGGAGTCAATTAATAATAACCACCGTCAGCAAGTACTGGACACCAACTATGTGCCAGGCACTGGGCTAAATGCTTTTATATTTTCTCATTTAATCTTTACAACAAGGCAGGCCCATCATCAGCCACATTTTACAGAAGAGGAACTTCAGACAGAAAAGTAAAGTAATTTGTCTAAGCTGTCACAGGTAGAAAGGGCCAGAATCAGGATTCCAACCCAGGCTGCCTGAGTCCAGACCCAGGTCTCACCACTGTGCAGTCATGAGGACGTGTGCATGATCTACTGCCTGGACACAGCAGGGGCCTGAGGATTATGGGTTGAAGGACTGCCTGTGCAGGTCCACAGAGAGCCCTACAGCTGCCTCTCTGCACCCCCACTGCCCCCGGCATCCCTCACCTCGATATGATTTTATTTTCCTTTTCAATGAAGACAAAAACCACCACCACAAAAACCAGGAAAAGGGCATATTTGCTCCTCATCCTCAGGCTGTGCAGAAAGTCCCGGCAGTCCTGGGGCAAAGCAAGGCCTTTCTCCATGGGGAAGGGTGGGGCCGCGGGCGCTCAGCTCAAGGGCATCCCTTAGGACCCGGCTCGTCGTCTTCAGGTCGGGGATGGCCTGGTCCTGTGGAGAGACAGGTGGTCAAGGACACCCTTGTCAGTAGATAAGAACGAACAAGAGCTTTTCCACCAGACTTTTGAGGATGCTGGCCCTGCTTATCGGCCAGAACCCCAGACCCACTCTCCCAATGGACTCTGCCCCAGAGAGAGCTGAAATCAGGTCACTTAAAATGCTAATGAACTCTGATTCATCTATGCCACCTCCATCAATTTATCCTTTGACTTCACACATGACTCAAAGGCAAGTATATGGAAAAGAACGTGCCTTGCACTATAAATGTTTGCAACAACAAAAGACTGCAAACACCTAAATTACAAATGATCCATGCAATAGATTATCATGCAGACACAAAGAATAATGAGCTGGATCGACAAATGTTGATGTGAATAATCTACTATATACTTAGTAATTATGTGTATATATACATAAAAGCAAGCTGCAGGCACAAGGGGTTTCTTAACCTCAGCACTAATGACATTTTGGACCAGATAATTCTTTGTGTGGGGCTGTCCTGTGCATTGTAGGATGTTTAACAGCATCCTTGGCCTCAACTCATTAGATGCCAGTAGCATCTCCTCTGCTCAGATGTGACAATCAAAAATGTCTCCATGGGCCAGCCTGCTGGCGCAGCGGTTAAGTTCGCATGTTCCACTTCTCGGCGGCCTGGGGTTCACCGGTTCCAATCCTGGGTGTGGACACGGCACCGCTTGGCAAAAGCCATGCTGTGGTAGGCGTCCCACGTATAAAGTAGAGGAAGATGGGCACAGATGTTAGCTCAGGGCCAGTCTTTCTCAGCAAAAAGAGGAGGATCGGCAGTAGTTAGCTCAGGGCTAATCTTCCTCAAAAAAAAAAAAAAAAAAAGTCTCCAGGCATTGTCAAATGTCCCCTGGGCGGGGGGAGGTGCAAAATCATCCCAGGTTGAGAATCTCTGATGCAGTATCATCCCATTTGAAAAAAAGTGTTTTTAAGTGAGAAAAAAATATAGATGCCGGATACAAATGGACTATGACTGCAGGGACACACACAGCCTCAAAAGAGAGGGAAGGGGAGGTCGGGAGAGAAGAGTTGGGGGGGTCTTAACATTTGCTGCGTGACATTGTAGGCTGTTAGAAATTTTACCACGCGGATGCGTAAATTTTAAAAAGTTAACCAAAGGAACAAACTAACTATAGCACATGAATTCTACTAAAATCCTTCCCATGACCTTGGCCTTCAATTTCAGCTTCCTGGGGCAGCCTCCCCGGGACAGGTCAGAGCTCCCCCAGCCCCTCCACTGCACAGGCTCCCGTCAGCAGCTGAGACTCCATCATAAAGCGAGCCCACTTGTAAGGACTTGTTTAGTGCTGATCACCCCTTCGTGGGGGACGAGGAGGTTGTCTGGGCCCCTCACCACCCCTCAGCCCTGGGCCAGGCGCACAGGAGACACTCATGCACAGCTGCTGAGTGATAGAAGAGATAATGGAAGAAATTACCCTCAAAGGGAGGTGTATGTATTTTTAAAAACCAGAGCAAATACAGCATTGTCCAATGGAGCATCTTTCACTCATCCTCATCGCCACACATACACTTGTCCGCACTGCGAGCCCCAGTTTCCAGCACAACCCCCACTTCCGAAAGTCTCTCCTTTCCTCCATAAGGACCCTCATCACGGGAGACAATCTGCTCCAAGTGTGAAAAAATCTTCTTGTGACCCCGTGCAAGGCACCAGGACCATCTCTCTCTCTGGAAAACATGGATTTTCCCAAGGGAAGCAGCTGGTGTTGACATCGGGAAGTGGGAGGGCAGGAATGAGGGTCCCAGGGCTGCATCCTTGTCACACAATAGAAGTGGCTTCAGGGACAGCCAGAAAATCTGTCCTTTTGGGAAAGCAGTGAGGCAAGGGTTCTGCATGTGAGGAGGCAGACGTGTACCCCAGCAGCTGAGTGGAGGTCTCCAGCCGTGCAGGGCAGAGCAGTGGTGGGGCGGCAGACAGCTCTCTCTCAGGGGGCTCTGGGGGTGCTTCCTGAGTGTGGGTGGGTGGGGAGGGGCCCAGGAGGGAAGAAGGCTGCAAGGCCAGCTCCAGAGCAAGTGGAATATTCCTGCCTCTTCCTAATTCTTCTGGGCCTTTCCCCATGCACTCATTAAACAAATATTTTCTGAGTCCCAACTGTGTGCCAGTCTCTGGTCTAGGCACTGGGGATACAGCAGTGAGCAAAGAGACAAGGTCCATGTGCTCGTGGGGCTTAAGCTCTGGTTGGAAAGGTCAGCTGGAATATTATGGGTACCTGAAGTTTACTGAGTGTTTACTATTCTGTGCCAGGTGCCATGCTAAGCACTTGATTTGCATTTCCCCATCAAATCCTCACACAAGCCCTCTTACGTAGCAACTATCCCATTGTACGGATGAGGAAACTGAGGTTGAGGTTAAGTAACTTGTCCAAGGTCCCTCCAGCAGTGGCCCTGACCACCCCTCCCAGGTTCAGGTCATTTGAGCATCTTAGTACTCCCCAGTGACCCCCACATAAGGTAGGGCTTTCCAGTTGATGGTCTGTCTGTCTCCCTTTCCCAGACTGCAAGCTCCCTGAAGTCAATACTGGCATCTAGAACGGCACCCAGCACATACCAGCTGCCCCACAAATCACTGGTGAGTGAACCTGTTGAAGCCAGTGCCTGGCTCAGTGCCTGGCAGGCTGTGGGCATGAGTTTGCAGAATGATGGGCAGGTCTGCATTCCCCATGCATCCAGTTTAGCCTGTGGTGAGGTGCGAGGCTGCCTGTCCCACTGGGAAGGTGAGACCCAACACTGGGTCTGCGGAGGTTGAAATCCTGACTTTCTGCCCTCTCGGCTCTCAGCTGAGAGTTGCCTGGGTCTGATGGTGTGAGAGAAGCAGGAGGAGCTGGGACCAGAAGTCCTGGGTTCTAGTCCTTCCTGCATGTCTACCATGCTGTGTAACCTTGTATAAGTGACTTAACCTCTCTGGACCTCAGTTTCTTCACCTGTAGTGTAAAAAGGGACGTACCTACTGCATAAGGTTGTTGCGAGGAACAGGATCTGGTGCATGGTAAGCGTTCATTAAATACAACAGGAGAGAAAGGCAGGGTGGCAAGAGGGAGTTGCCCTCACTGTCCTCTCCCTTCTAGGTCTAACAGCTTTGGTAAGATTTAGAAGTTTAGCTGCCTCGATGACAAAGCCCCTGAGCCTTCTCCTCCCCTCCATTCCAGGCTCTGTTTCTATTTTTGAGCTGCCATCCAGTCCCCTCACCCCCCGAACAATACCGGGTTCCTGAGAACCTTCCCAGCATTGCCCTAAAAGGAAGCAGCAAGGGCGAAAACTCTCTCCAACAGGATACACGAGGCAGGCTGCTGGCTCCCATGCCCTGGCCAAGGCAGGCTGCCCCTAGGTTCAGCTTTGGAAGCCCAGCGGGTGGATGGGTGGGCAGGGGAGGGGGGTTTAGAGGTCCCAGGGGAATGCAGGAGGTCCCCAGAGTCAGGGTCACAGGGGCCAGGAGGTCACCAGGTCGGGAGGGAAGACAGGGCTGGGATGAGGGTCACCCAGCAGTGCTCCAGGCAGAACCTGTCCCGCAGGAGGCCCTCTGCAAGAAGCGGGTGTGTGACATCCGTGACACTGGACAAACCTTCGCATTACTTCCCTCCCACACCCGTGGTGCATGGGCTCGTCCTGCCTCCCTTGCTTAGCTCATGGGAAGAATGAAAAAGCTCTTCCTTCGCTTGGCGGATGCCACCTCCCAGGGGAATACTCGATATCTTTCCTCCCCCCAACACTCGGCAATGATGCGACAGCCAGAGGAAAAGGCAGCGTCCCCCTGCTGGGATGCCAGCAGAGTCATGTTTCCAGGGCGGCAGGGCCAATGGTGAAGAAGGCCAGGGGCAGGTGCCAGCCCAGCTCTGCCTGGATATGGTTGGGGGAAGCGAGCAGCTGCCCTTGGCCCAGTTATACCCAGTGCTCAGCTCTAGCGTCCCCTCCTCTGGAGTCCTTCCCTGACCACCTACTTAACATGGATCATCTCCCCTCCCCCCACCACTTCCCTTCTCAGCCTCCTGCTTTATTCATTCCTAGATGGAAATCTGCTTGAGTCACTGGGATGTCAGCTCCATGAGGAGAGCTTGTCTGTCGGCTCCGCCTCTGTAGTCCGGTGACCCGTTCTGTGGGTTCTGAGCACAGAGTAGGTGCTCCCTAAGACTCGCTGAATGAATGATGAAGCCCTTTTGCAAAGCAGTTAACCCAGTGTGAGAGGCTTAATCAGTCTAAATTGATGGGAAATACGAAGAGGAAGAAGAAAAAGCAGCTGTTGCCTCCGTGAGTGAACCAGGTGTGCATGCTGTGAGCATGTGCTATGAGCAGAGCTATGGCTATGTGCTAGGAACTCACACTAGGAGCGCATATTATCAGTATATGCCCTGAGTGTGTATTATCAGCAAGTGCTGAGTGTGTGCTGTGGAGGTATACTATGAGCATGTGTGTGAGTGTGTACTGTGGAGGTATACTGCGGGCATGTGCGTGAGCGTGTGCTATGCAGGTATACTGCGGGCATGTGCGTGAGCGTGTGCTGTGCAGGTATACTATGGGCATGTGAGTGAGTGTGTACTGTGCAGGTATACTGTGGGCAGGTGCGTCAGTGTGCGCTGTGCAGGTATACTGCGGGCATGTGTGTGAGTGTGTATTGTGCAGGTATACTGTGGGCATGTGTGTGAGTGTGTATTGTGCAGGTATACTGCGGGCAGGTACGTGAGTGTGTGCTGTGGAGGTATACTATGGGCATGTACGTGAGTGTGTGCTGTGCAGGTATACTGCGGACATGTGAGGGTGTCCTATGGGCAACACTTCACACTTAGGGCCTCACATATGTCAGTCTCTGAATTATCCCAGCAATCCGAGGACGCCTGATGCGTTTTTGAGGACGAGGAAACTGAGCCTGGGGGCTTTCAGTTCAAGTCCTCACAGCTATGTGCTAATTCGAGGAGGGCAGAAAACAGAGGTGTCCAGACACACTTAGTGAGGGAACA